GTAGCTTCTCTCAAGACATATTATATAATGAGCCTCAAAGGGGTTGTTCTGTGCTATTATCAGTCTTTTTAATCAGTTCAATCTCATGATCTCTACCTGGGCCATGAAGTGGGGGTAGAGCATCAGTGGCTTCCTTATCAAATACATCTAAAAACTCATGATAATGTTCAGGCAGCTTTTCTCTAGAGTCAATCTTTGATTTCACTTCTAGAGTCTTTTGAATATTAGTCAAACTGACAGTAAAGATCTCAATATTTCACTTCTCTCAAGTGCTCACAAGCCTAGAGAAGCTTACAGCAGAGATGGGAATCACATCAGCTTTTGCATTTGAACTAGACTCTATCTCTATGCCACTCTTTTCAAATCTCATAATTCTTTGATGAGGGATCACAGTCATCTTTTGCTGAGCTAGCCAGGGATCACCTAAATACATATCATGATCATGTAACTTATTCACCACATAGAGAAAGGCCTGTTCAGTTACATGACCACCTATATCAATTTGAATGCCAGTCACTATGCTTGTGAAGAGTCCTATGAAGTCTTCAAAGCTGGTCATTTTAACAGGGGGAATTTCAATGCACAGGAGCTTATGCTTGTTAACATAAAATTGAGAAATAAGATCATAGACATTATATCTACTGTCTATCATTGCTCTAGTTGAAAAGGCATTATCTACTAGAGCATCAACAATGAAGGATTTGAATATCATCTTAGATTTAAATCTTCTTCATTGCTTTCTCATAAGCTTCTTATTTTGCTTCTTCTAGTGTCTTTTGATTGAAGCTACTCTTTTCTCAAATTCTCACTAATATTTATATTGTCATTGTCTAGTACTGGCTCAGAGATCATCTTAACTATCATGAGAGTGGCAGAGCATCTGAGAGGTTTGAACAGACAGCTCTTAATCATATGACCTTCAGCTCTGCATCTCAGACACAGGTCTTGCTCTCTTTATTAATTAATCTCTGTCTGATTTATCAATTTGATGTGATAGATGCTTGGAATTATAGCATCAGGAGAGAGATTCATCAGATTATCAGTGGAAGCTTGAGACTGATTTCATCAGTCAAGAACAGTATGATGAAGTAGAGAGTGTGAATTAGATGTCATATGATCTGAAGAAGATCTGCTCTCACAATGTTTAGATCACTGTCTTAAAGTCTTAAGCTTAGAGAGTTGATGATCAACTAATCTAAGCTCTCTGCAGTAATTTTCATAGAGAGATGATTCTCTTACACTCATCATGTCTTCCCTTAGCTTCATGCTTAGAGTAAATTTCAAATATCTCTTTTTAACATGATCATCTCATCTGTGATCATCAGCTTTCAGCAGTAGCTGATTAAATTCAGACAAAAAGTCAAAGAGAGCTCTTCTACTCTGTCATAGATTGTTGAGCTTTTGCATAGCCTTTTCCTGTTGTGCAGAATCACTAAAGAGTATGCATGTCTGCTTCAGTAAGCTCTCTATCATGAAGTTGATCTTATCTTTATTATTCTCAACTCAGAGGTAAACTTGAGCTGCTGCCATTTCTTTTAGTCTTGAGTACACATATCAAGCACATTTCTCATTATTATATAAAGCTTTCTCATTGATCTTAAGTTTTGATTGAAGCTTTAGCTCTCACTGAGAGTAGTGCTTCAGATTAGAATCATCATATTTCTTGCAGTCTGATAGCTTGGTCTTTGATCTTCTGACTGCAATGAGTGATTGCAGATTTAATTGAGAGAGAATTGATGTTGAAGTGTTCAAAGCTTGTTGTAGATTAGCTATTTCAGCTTGCTGAGCTACTATTAAATCTCTGTTCTTATGCTGGACCTGTTCCTGCTGTTGAAGAAAGATCATTCATTGTTGTTCAAAGCTGCTGAGAGCATCTCTGCTCATTGCTTCATGTTGATTCATTTGTTGTACAAGTCTGCTGCTTTATCTCATTCAGCTAGATGTTTTCAATATTGCTCATTCATTTGTTAGCATGATTACTAACCCAGTCTATTCATATATCAGTGCTATCACTGAACTTCATGATACAGGATTAAGGCTCCCAGTGACCTATCAATGAAAGGAGTGAAGCAATTTATAATATAAAAGGTTAAGCTCTAAGAACTAAAGGCTAGTCCTCCTATATAACAAGGACGAATTGCTTGAGAAAGGGAAGAAAAGAATGAGATAAGAACTCAAGCTTAAGCAAGCTCGCGTAGCATGATCATGTGCGCACATGCGAATGATGGCTAGGCTAAGCAAGCTCGCGTAGCATGATCATGTGTGCATGTGTGAATGATGACTAGGCTGAGTCAGCCAGCCAGAGTAAATCTAGGAGTTCAACCCCTTATATGATCAACCTGTCAGTAGATTTGCAGACATTGTGACCCTGTCATTCTGAGTGTAGAGTTTCTTCAATTGAAGTTGAAGCTGCAATTCTTTGCATCTCTCTTTTTGAAGTTTTAAATCAATCTTTTGACATTCAAGATTCAATCTCCTCAGTTGCAATTCTTCAGAGTCAATTGTCAGCAATGAGTTAGAAATTGCTGCAGATGTCTTCACCCTGTCTTCTGAAGGAGTTGAATTGACATATTCAACATGATATAGGTGGATCAGCCTTATCATAATAGAAGCTGTAATCAGTCCAGCTTGTCAACTGAGTGTTTCAGAGAGTCCAATCCTGGAACTCTTGAATGCTTCTGAGGGGGTCAGTGAGCTCAGGGCCTCCTGATCATTTTCAGATCAGTCAGATTGACTGAATTGACTCAATCATGACTGTGAGTAAGTCATCATACATTCCATCATGTCATATTAATCTTCTTTATAATGAAGTAATCTTATTCAGTGAGATTCTTGTCTATAAGCTTGATTGAGCAGATTGATGTGTTCTTGTGTGATCAGTCACTGAAAAATTAGCAAGTTGCAGATTTTTCTTTCACCCACTAAGTGAACAGATTAAACATAGAAAAATTAATAATAATATAAGAGCATGTCAAATCAATCAATTGACATAAAATAAGACAATATTATATTGAATGAAGTGAGCAGTGATTAATATACACTATATTTGGCAAGAATTCCCTGAATTGGCAGTTATTTGCGCAAAACAGGTCTCATAACCTGTGAAGGATAAATTGCTTGATTGATTATGTAGCAATCACTAGCTACGCGGAAGTTATATACAGTGCGGATTACATAAGAAGGCGGATAGGCCTGACATAAGAGTCATCATCATCTGAGCCTGCACCACATCAATAAGCTCCACAATGCTGCAGCAATTGCGGCACTCTCAGACATACAAGAATAAGATGTCCTCAACCTAGTGTAATTTAATTTAATTTAATTGAGTGTTGTGGCATTGACATAATTTGATTAAAATCTAGTCAGTTGAAATACAAGTGATTTTGTGATCCGCTCGCTTGGGAATTACTAACTAACTAACTAACCTGTCGCCGTGACCAGTACAAAGGAAACTGGCTCATTCTGCCAGATTTGTTTATGGGTTGGACGTATCTGCTAGACTCGAAGGACCTGGACTACGGTTGTGGATTAGGCACAGGAGGTTATCGAATCCTGTGAGGCCTAGTAGCCGACGTGATAGTGCTCTGACGAGTTCTTGCACAGTTTATAAAACCTTTTTCATTGCATTGTTTTTACAGCGCACCAACTGAGATGGCCTTGGGCAAGTAACTAACTAATTTGCACGAAAACTATATTGATAATGACTGTAAGATATGCATTATCGCTTCACGCCTCTTCTCTTCTGAAGATATTTGAGGCTACTTAAAGAATCGACAAAATCACGATTTAGTCAAACGAGATTGATCAGAGCACAGGAAAATATATCGGATTCTGATGATACTGTGCGTCCAGAATGTTAGTACGGTCAATATGCAACTAGTCAATTTTCAGGAGCAGTTCCACGGTTGATCCGAAGAAATCCAGACACCCACCAGTCACCCCTATCTTCTTGCCCAATTTATAGGCAGGAGATATCTATCTCGAAAACAGGTCCCTTCTGGAAGAGTTGCCAATTTCCCAGGTCATTAGGAGAAGGATAAGTGCACAAACCACTATCGATGTGATGGGATATTGACAGGCGCAACGCATTCATTTGCTTGGAGGAATTGCCAATCACCTCATGGTTGGTGTCAGTGGTACGATTCATTATAGTCCGCTATCAGTTAATTTTTATCTAAGCCAAGCTGCTGAACTCTCTACTCATATGTTGCTGTGTATGAAGCTTTGAGATCAACGATGAATTATGAAAACCGGAAAATGAATAGGCAGGGTGCTACCTCGATTTTACCACTGGGTTCGTATTGCCAAACAATGGGAACCAATTGGCTTTATAAATGAGAAATTATATTTTTGTCTTTTCCGTGCAGCCAATTCTTTGTTTATTTTTTGCAGGAATACTCCGTTCTCGGTACAAACTGAATGGAGCGCTTGTATCAGACGCCGAAGGATATGGATAAAGGTGGGTTAGATTGCTAGATACATAACTACTGTGTAATCTGCCTACAATCTCAAATTCTTCAGGATTCACAGATTTCAGACTGCTTATATACAGAATCAGACACTCTTAATAATCAATTTCATCAGAAAATTGATATAGAAAGCATTAAAGAAAATACAAGATTCAAATACACAGACTGGCTGCGTTAGTCAGCGCTACAAAGCTTCGACGTCATCCAACTTAAAAGTCCAACCGCGGGCAAAACATTTTTCAACTGGTTCCACTAAAAAAACAATGATCTATAATAAATAAGACAGAATCTTGCCGAGAATATATCACACCTAAACCGCTCACCAATGCCCTGACCTTATCAACAGCCTCAAGTCCTACATAATCTCCTGGAGTTGAGCTCATTCGGCTACATTTTCGTCGTCCTCTCGAAAACTCCGCTTATTATTCCCATCTCCATCTCCATCCCACTCGCCGATCCCAGACAAGGGTTAACCGACACCCAATCTAATATATTCCTCTATGCCAATTGGTGTTCCCACAACCATCCACCATGAGTGACACATCTCCCCCGTCGTCTTTTGACTCTCATCCGTATGTTCACCGACCCCTTCATTCTGTCCCCGCAACACCCGTCCCACTCTCCTGCTAACCAGTATTGCATTCCTCAGAGAATTCTTCCAGGAAACAAAATGGCAGAAAATTTACCCGCCGCATTAAAGAGGAGCCTCTTATCCCAATAGGTAATGAAATATCATATATATGAAAGCTCAAACTCTTGCTCCTGCACTGCAATTGTTGCCGTCTTCCACCCCACCTTCTTCTTCCCTAAATAAATCCACACCCTCCATCTCAATTTTAATAAATCAACCAGGCTACGCCGCAACCAGCTACGCCCTCTGGCGCGCCTACAAGTCCATGAAAGCTGGTGACTCGATTGAGCTCAATCGCATGTTCCGCGCTCGGATTTACGGCCACGCCTTTACTCTCTTCGCCATCGTTGCTGGCGGTATATACTACGGCAACGAACGGAGGCAACGGAAGGAGTTTGAAAAGGCTCTTCAGGAGAAGTCGAATCAGGAGAAGCGCGATGCTTGGCTGAGAGAATTGGAGATCAGAGACAAGGAGGATAAGGATTGGAGGCAGAGGCATGCTGCTATTGAGGTGGCGGCGAAGGAGGCGGAGAAGAAGAAGGGTTAATTGGGCAAGGGAATCGGAGTAGAGGGTTCCCCGGTGGGATGTTTGGCTGTTTATCTAGGCCTGGGGATCGTTGCAGTTATTTCGTATAGGGAGCGCTGCGTTCATAAGTGGACACAGCCAGTTCCTGGTGAGTAATGGCTCTGAGAGCCATTGGTTTAGAGCCGTTGCGTCCTGATTGTGTACTCTCATCTATGTTCTAAATATTTATCCATGGATTTCGGTGGATTTTCAAAGCTGGGGGTTTCTTTGTACGATTTCTTCTGCAACTATTGTCTCATTTACGGATATGGTGTTTGAATTGGAATACATCTCTGCTTTGCTTGCTACTTATTGTTATATAGCACTGACTGCTATCTTTAATTTCGGTTTGAAAATATCCTCTCTTAAATTCGACGGATATATATACATTTAGCTCCCTATCTATATTTTATATACACACAATTCAGCCATGATAGCTCAGTGAACAGCAGGGAAAATTTCTTGATAATTGTTCACCTCATAGAAGCCCAGCCATAGAAACTAAGTAAAGCTAGGCACATGCACCGTATGTGAAAGCTAGCATCACACCGTCATTTCATCGATATATCGCCTCATGGCTTCGAATTCCGATTTCCCTGTCTGGGAAGATCCACCGTCAGTCATTGTATACATTCCAGCTGAAATATGGAGAGAAAAAAAGTGGTACTAGGGGAAAGTAGAAAAAGTCTTGCATTTCCATACCGAGATCAAGAACCTAATATGAGTCTGAAAAAACCAAAATCCAGGATTTATGGCTTATTAGTCTCAATTGTGCCGAAAGAAGAGCATTGATAGAACGAAACTTCTCCTTACCAAATCTGTCACATCTTTGTGCCGTTCAAATTCATGGCGGGCGAACGAGCGCATTTCATCTCTTGTGCTAGATTGCGGAATCTCTAATTACGGATATAGGAAAACCCTCAGTGGTTAGGGGCCGCAGTGTCCTGGTCACCAAGTAATGAGGGAATCCGTGAAAGAAGCATACTATTAAAAGCTCGTACTATCTCACGCCAGAGACTAAGAGCTCGCTGTCGCTGAATAAACTAGGCTTTAAATTAGCATATCTTTGGCCATTTCCATGCATACATTGATATAGAGTTAATAAATATATCAACTCACATGTTCAAGACTCAGAGCTGGTGTTCTAGGCTTTCGCGGCGATGCGGCTGCTAAGAACAGGCGAGCTGACCAGCGCATAGATGGATATTGCTGCTATTGCGGATCCCATGCCCGCTATTCAGCTTCAATAACTATACCTTGGGCTGGCAGTTCGAAATAATTCCCGTTTCCGTTGCAAGTTTGCAAAGTCTCTTGGAAGGGACGACGTTGAAGAGCAGCAAAATATGAAGGCGGTAAATATCTGAACCTGAATTTAGCGCGATAAGCGCGTCAGCAATCCATGTATGCGACTTAGCCACTTTCGCGGCATCGAACTTCAACTTCACAACATGAGGAGGAAGAAAAGATTGACAATGCCTATATATATGATACACTGAAATTATTTGCATGTTGGTGAATGGTTGATTATGGGCTTGTCTCTTCTGCGAAGCGTCCGGAGCAGCAGAATCAAGAAACTAACAACTACCTCGACAAGGAGAAATGAACGGAATGAAAGAATGTTGAGGAGTCATAGAATGGAGCAGCAAATAAAAGAGGCCGGAAACGGTTTTGCGGGTGAAAACAGTATGGACAAGAAACCAGAACCAAGAAAACGTGCATCAAGTATTTATGTCGCGATAGTGCTGCCTAGCTACCGAGCTTCTATCCCATACCTCTATTAATTATGTCTAACACACCCATCTGTCTAGAGAAAGAAAAGCCACAGCATATTCAACGACGATTAGTCGAAAGCGTGAACGAGCTCCCCCTTGACGAATTCATCAATCGCTATGTTCCTCCAAGGATCCACGACTTCTCGATATCTGTCCCCCGCCTTATAACTACCCCCACAGATCCAGGAACATGTGATACCTATTCAATTGAAATGTACTCGTCTAGTTCGATTTCTCTAGAAGACCTTGAATCGTGCTTTATGCTGGTGAAGCTTACCAGCTCGGAAATGTACAAGAATTCAGCCCTGGGCTGGTCTCCTAAAAAGAAGAAGAACGAAATGAAGCTACTAGATTTGCGGTATATGCTGTTGGTTCGTACTACCACCGGACAAGGCCAAGACCAAAATTCAAGTAAGAAAACTGGCAGCCCTGTGACAGGCGGGCGAGCGGTTGGAGGCTTCTTGGCGTTTATGGTAACATACGAGGATGGATTTGAGGTCATCTACTGCTACGAGATACATCTCGCACCCGAGCTACAGCACAAGGGACTTGGAAAGATGCTATTTGGCTTCTATGAGGAGATCGGAAGGAAAATCGGGGTACAGAAGGCCATGTTGACACTTTTCAAGGCGAATAAACCAGCAATTAGGTTTTATGAACGATTAGGATACGGAAAGGACGAATTTTCACCAAAACCGATGAAGCTGCGTAATGGGAATACTCGGGAATACGATTATATGATTTTCTCTAAGGATCTTGGGGGTATGCAGACGATAAAGAAGGACACAAATAATATGGATATTGTCTGGTGATGGAAGCCGCTCCCATTTGCTAATGGGGAAAGGTTTGCCAACATATCAGATCTGCTTGATATATTTCCCTTTCATTTCTGGTCTCTCCCTCTCCCACTCATCACGGAGGACAGCGAATATCGAATCTGCGACAAGGATTGAAAGTCCTAGACTCCACACCAGGGTTATCGCATAGAAGAAGTTGGCGTTCCCCGAACCAGCGTATATCCACAAGTGGTGGAAGACAGGGCCGAGAAGAGTGGCATAGAGAAGAGCCGCAACAGCAAAAAATGTGTAACGCATTACTGGGAGCATGTTAGTGGTATATACTCTAGGAGAGAAGGGGCTGTGGGGTAGGCAACATTACATGGAAAAATATGTCGATATAAGGGAAGAAGCGCAAAATAGATGGACACGTCAGAAATACTCGGGTATGGTTTAAAGATAGCGAATATCCCAAGGAGTGAGGTGAGCACAAATAATGGCTGGGTCCTCATGCGCACGCTGAATGCTCCAACGTACGTTGCCAGATGTAGCCAGAAAACTCCTAGGAAAAACCGTCGAAATGGATCAAATATCTCAACGAAGAAGTACCACCATAGACCGGCGTTGGGAGTCAGATCGGGGACCAGCAGCTGCACTCCATAGGTCGCTGATATGAACTCCAATGAGTTACCAGTGATTATGAAAGACATGTACAGGAGTACAAAGACACTTGCGACAAATAGGAAGAAATATTTTAGAGCGTAGATAAGAGCGCTGCCAGTCAACCTGCCTCCTTTTACAATGCGGTCGTAGCAGAGCAGAACGAGGGGCGGGAATAGGAGGGCAGGATAGAGCGACAGGTACGAAGCGAATGCCAGCGCAAGCACTGAGTTGAAAGTATTGCCCGTAACCGCGTTAGAAATTGCATACAGGATTGCGGAATTTGTGAATGCATTGGGCGATCTTCCAAGACATGTCGCAATTGTGAAGGGGTTAAACAGGTAGCTGTGAAGATGTTAGTGTTCGCTCTTTATACTTATTATATTCGTAACAAGTCCACAAGTCCACAAGTCCACAATCGCAAACATACCCTGCAGCAATAGACACACCATCCCATCTTATATCTTTCCGTGGGGAAGTGTAAAGGCGAGACACCACAGACTCAGCAGAGTTTGATATGGTGACCAACGCCGCTGCGTTCAAAAGATCCAGGAGAATGTATACCAGCCCGGTAAGCAGTGGGTGACTGCTGGATTGGGGGAGGAGGGAAAATATCGGCAGGAGGATCGGGGCCTTGCGCAGGAACGTATTAAATACATTGTAATATTAGGTCCGTTGTAAAGATGGTATATGTACCTGGTGATAAACGCCGCCATCATATGGGGACACATTGCGGGTATAGAGAAAGACTCCTTCTTGGACTTCCAAGCCGCAAATAGACGTCAACAGCGGCTCACATTCTCTTAAGGTTATATTTTTACATACGTCTTTTAAAGCTGCTGGCTGGAGTAGAAATCTCCACTCTGCCTGTTAGGAGGTCTGGGAGGGTGGGGAATAGCGTAAATAGGAGGATACGGAGAGCAATTGCTCCGCCGAATACGCAGAGTTTTCTTCTGTCGACTGGCATCATAAACAAGGATCGCTAAATAAGTTCATTCTGATATCAAATACTAAACTGCAGACTTTGAATGTGGAGTAAACAAGCTGTGAATTGGGTTGGAATCTACTCCGTACATGTTAAATGGTTTCCTGTCCACCTGCTGGACTTTTTCCACGTATTATCTCGCAGTCGCAGCGATTTAGCCGCTCGATCGTCGCGCACGGGCCACACCGAGCTTTTCTCCGATTCCCGCACAACTTCAATTTTCAACAACTGATACAACGCCTGAGACAGCAAATTTTACTGAAGTTCGAGGATTTTCCCATTCCAGATATGGGGCAAATAAAAAAGAAGGGTATGATGCTCACCAGTATCGATGTTACGATTGAGCGTTGGTTGCTAACCGAATTCCAGGGACCTCTGGTCAGGCGAAAAATTTCATCACCAGAACACAGGCGGTGCGCAAGCTGCAGATTTCCCTCCCCGATTTTCGCAGACTATGTATTTTTAAGGGTAAGGGATTTGTTTTTCTGCGATGTGAATAATTGCATTGACTGATCTGATTTACGTTTAGGTATCTATCCCCGTGAACCTCGAAACAAGAAAAAAGCCTCGAAATCTGCGACACCGCGTACCACTTTTTACTACACGAGAGATATCCAGTACCTACTTCATGAACCCCTACTTAAGAAGTTCCGCGAACAGAAGTCGCTTGCGAAGAAGATAGCTAGGTCTCTTGGCCGTGGAGAAGTTGGAGATGCTGCAAGGCTCGAGAAGAACAATGCGCCCAAAATATCACTTGACCATATTATCAAAGAACGGTATCCCACATTC